ATCCACTATTATAATTACTAGGAAGAGGTACAGGACCTAATTCAACCCTGAGATTTCCTTTGCAGGGGGTTGGTTGTGGCTTGTAGCCAAGGGCAGCTCCATTGCACTTCTTGGTGCTTTGCAAAGAGCTTGAGTAAATATTGAAACATGTTGGTACTCTGCGTAACTTCTATAACAAAAGCTGACAGCTTTTGTTTCCTCCTTGAGGGAGCATTATTTGAAATGAAACTGCAGTGAAAATTATTAGCATTGTGTGCGTTCAACTGTCTGTTCAGTGGGAAATTTGTGTTATCCATAACATTTTCCAATCCTCAGAAATCGCCCGTGCAAGGAATAACTTGCAAATTCTTACTCCATTTCCAAAAATGTGGGAAAGTTTATTTATTTCTCCATGCATTCCTGATTCGCAATGTGCTCTCTAAAAATGTCGCTAAGATTTAGGCTAACCAAGCTCATGCTAAATTTAGCAACTATATTTTAAATAAACATTCTTTACGCTTTACTGAGCCGGCTTTGAAGCCGCTTAAAACAAATCGTGTTCGCATGAACATGAACAATGTTTTACTTTGGACTAAGAGAACATCTGAATAAGTAATAATGTATTATTATTCAGTATAATCCGAAAATGAGATTTTAGGGATCTAATTCAGTTAATTTAGGCAAGATTCCTGTGAGGAATACCGAACCAGGCCTGTATTTATTTCTGGAAGAGCCTGTTTTTTTCTCTTTGACCACACAAAACTTCCTTCTGGTGTCTTATTAGAACTAAAGCTCCAAGGGTTGGTGAAATCAGCTGTGATTTTGCACGCACTGCATTTGAGGAATCTGGCCCATTTTAAAGCACTTAATGATTTGTCTGGATAAAGCACTAAAAATATACTGTGGGGAGCAATTATGCAATGTCCAGACTGATGGATTGCATAACCTCATAGACCTTTTCCATCTGTAACTTCTCTAATTCTGTGATCTTGTCTTCTTGGTCTTTCACTTAAAATCAAATATGTGATCTGTTTAATATCCCAAACGCTGTCTCCTGGGAGATCTGTTTTCTGGGTGTGTGGGGCTACAAATCAAGTAAAAAAGCAGATCCTTCTTCCCCTCTCATTTGGCAAATGGGCTGCTTCTCTCACCAGGCTTAGGAGCAGCCAGTGGGTTTTGGTGTGAAAAAGGATGCTCTCTCCTTTATGTGTCTTCCCTGGCGAAGGATGGAAAGAAAATTAACTATAAAATGGTGTGAGGGGAAGTAAAAGCAGCTACAAAGTCCCTCAGATTTATGTCACCTGTAAATCAGACACAGACAGCCACTTGGAGTGACGAGCCCTGAAAGCGGTTCCTGCTCACATGTAAATACTTGATTATATTTTATATAAACTGCGGGACCAACTTTAGGAGAACACACACTGAGCACATTTAAAGACTGGGAGCCCCATTTATGAGAAATTAAACTCCGGAATTATTTTAATATGCCAAATTTTCGGTTCCCCTCATAGGAAACGTGTGTTTGGAGCAAAGCCGCCCTGTGAACCGAACGAGCCTCTTCCACTGTGGGATCTTCTCTGCTCCTATGAGTTAAAATTGGCTGCGGAGCTCGGAGACGTGGAACCTTGCTGGGTTGGGAGAGGTCACTCCTCTCCAGAGGAACGGAAAGGCACATATATCGCCCACACAAGAAGTGTGCTGTTTATACTGCATCCTGGGCTATTTTCTCCATTTCTCCACAGTATTCCAGACTGGTGTTTACAGCCAACCCTGAGAGGTTGGGAAAGCTAGGAGGGGGAAGATTCCAGGGATTAGTTAAATACTGGGTGGCAGTTTTGTGCTTGGCAGCTGGTTTTGGGGGGGGGGTGTGAAACAGGTGTGAAACCATTGGCATCAATTCTTTGCAGCTTGTCAAGTCCTTGATATTCATGTGGCACTTTGGCTGATTTGAACTACACCACATCAAAATTCACATGATATATAGAGGATTAAAAGATGCTCAGTCACATCTAAAGGGCAGGAACTGGTGGATTGACACTCACACTCATTTCTCTGCACCGAAGTGCTGTTGCTTTTATTTTATGTTTTTATTTTATGTTTTTATTGTATGTTTTTACTGTATGTTTTTATTGTACCATTACTTGTCCTTTCTCTATAAACAGATGACGTGCAAGAGCTGTGTGTGGTTAGTCATCCTGCCTGCTGGCAATAAGACCCTTTTTCGTGGTATTCATCCCCTGTTACAGCACTGGCCTGATCCCAATTAATTCCAAATTGCCCCTCATAACTATTCACTCTGTTGTGAGTTCATTTGAGTTAGTGACACTTTTGTGCAGAGCATGTTAAGTTTACTAATTTTACTCTCTCAAGTGAAACCAAAATCAATCTCAATGTGGCTTTCAAACAGTGCAGCTGTACTTGGTCCCACTCCACTCCACCAAAACAGAAATAAGATCAAATGTCAAAGCAAAGCTTCACGAAAAACAAATTCCCATTGCATGGAAAAAGCTGAATCTCTCCCCCCCAAAAAAAAAAAGTATCTATGATAAAAATATACATGGTCTACATATTAAACTGAGACTTAGTCCTTTGGATAATTTTTTTGACCACTAAAAACTGCTCTTGCACAGAAAGGGCTGTGAGGTGGAGAGGTTATACATGTGTGAGTAGGAAAGGAATTAAAGCCCTGTTTACAGGTCAAAAAAGGTACTTTGGGAAGCTGGAATAGGAGCATAGAGGTGACAAACTGGGGTGGGGGGATGCCCAGTCAGGAGAACTGGGCATGCCAAGTCAGGAGAAAGGAAAACAAAGGAGCTTGAAGACACAGGTTAAAACTGGTGATTAAGAGCATAAATATCCACATTGTGGGGGCCAGGCTGCAGGGAGGCAGGCCAGGGATGCAGGATCCCCATCTGTAGGAACTGGCTCTGGAGCTTGATGGAGATCCATCAAACAAGTCTCAGAGGCAGCATTAACCTCTCATTTCACACCCGTGCCCAAAGCGTCACTCAGGGAGAGGAGAGATGATTGGAGGTCTCTGCTGGGCAAGAACTGAGCTGGATCGTTTTCCTACCCCTGCAGCTTCCCGTGAGTGATGTCACCTCACAGACTCCAAACAGCCTGGTGATGTCAGTCCCCAGCCTTGAACAGAAACCTCCTGGCAAGGTGGCCACTGATTTAACCAATACCTGTCTCTAATTACACACAGGAGTGGCACCGCAGGGACAGGATTTCACACAGGGAGCATCAACACTCTCAGCACTTGCCCAGCCTTGTAAATGATGGTAGGGACACATGTGCAGTGACTGAGCAGTGACACCTTCATTTTACAAGCGCTTTTTTTTTATTTTTTATTTCAGTGCCATAGCTTTAAAGAATTTATTCAATGTATATTCAAGTTGTCAGAGTTGTCAGAACTACTTAAATAAAGTCTATCTTGCAAATCTGTTTTAAAAAAATCTCTTCTTCTATTTCCTTTTTTCACACTGAGAAGCAGGAGCTCGGCCTATCCAGGGTTCTACCTATAAGCATCATTCTTTTGGGAACCTCAGCATCAGTTCCTACCTTTTGGAGATTTTCTGTACTTCCCCATATGAGAGCTCTTTGCCTTGTGCTGGAATGAGGCCTCTGAGCTCCTGGCCCAAATGTAAAGGCTGTTTGGTGCTGATCTTCTTCTGCACAAGCTGAATCACAACTCACCTGAGAAACCCACATTTCCAATATCCAGGTGCTAATTTAAGGACAAGCTTTTCTAGTGAGATGGGGTGGTGTGGAGGGAAGAGAAGGAGAAACAATCATTTTGGGAAACATTACCTCAGGTTCAAGGAACAGGTAATTTCCCAGGACTCTGTTTTTAGTCTCTCCCACCTTTTATGAGGTCCATCATGTCCTCACCAGAACATTCACTGCATCCAGCAGCAGATCCCGCTCCTTGATCCTCCAGGGTGTTTTACATCACACCAGCCACACTCCTGAACAAAATACTTTTATTGGATATAGGTTTGGTTTCATAGTGAAAATTGAGAATATAGATTTTTTTTTCCAAAAGGGCATTTATCCACTAATATACAAAAAGCCTCTATTTATGACAAACAAAAATAAGAAATATTCCTGATTTCTTGCAGTGTGTCTGGATTCTTCCTTCTTTAAGAAAAAATAAAATTTTAGATACACAGCTGATGTCTTTTTTTTTTCCTGGTAGTTGTCCTGGTTGTTAAAAGACGTATTTCAAAATGCCAAGAGTGGCCTCCACAACCCTGCTTCAGTCTTTTTGTGGTCAGAAGCAACTGATCCCAGCAAGATATGGAAAGGGGATGCATCCCTGTGTTTGCTCATCCATCCCCCTCTCATCAGTGAGCAGAAACTCTGGTGAGATACTCGAGAAGCACAAGTGCTGGGCAGGAAACCAGTTACACACAGTGCTGAGTCTAAGCAAGCAGGAATGTGCAGGATGAGCCTGAATTGCTTGGTCTGCCCTTATTTCAGCTCCAGTTACCTGCCTTTACCCATTGGGAGGACTGGGTCAATGGGGAACATCAGGAATTATTAATACCTGTGAGTATTAAAGGCAAAACAGCTCAGCCCCCTCCCCCACGGATGGACAGAGTGGGTTGGGTTTTCAAAAGGAAAATAAAAGAAGAAAACCAGAGACCTGAAGGGCTCAAAAGAAACCAGGTCTGAGGAACCTGAGGGATGCAAAGACTAAAGGTGCAGAGCAAACCCAACAGAGCTTAGGGGCAGTGTGGGCAATCCCCCAAGTGCCTGTCTCTACCTTCACTACCCACGGGAAAAGAAAGCTGGTTTACCTTCGAAAGTCGGTCTGGCGAGGGGGTGGGAGGCAACGGCTAAAGAGAGTCCGCAGCAAGACGTGCCTTGAAAATGCCCTGAAATCCTGAGTCACCTTTACATCGCTTTGGGGTTTTTTTGGTCTACCCGCACAGTGAGGTCTGAGTCCAGTCTCTCACTCCCATCGCGCCCCCCAAGCAGCGCCCGGGGCCGGGTGGGGTTTAATTATGGGGCAACTACTGGAAATTAAATACCGCCTCGGATACGTGGAGAGGGAAGCAGGAGAGGAAGGGGATGCCGATGTGGTAGAGCCTCCCGTGCACCTGGGAGTCGAGCATGAGGGAGGTGTTGAGGGTCGGGCCGAAGCCGCCGCTGGCGACCAGGGAGCCGCCGAGGCAGCCGGCGGGGCCCTCCCGGGCCGCCTTGGGGGCTGCCCCGGGGGGCGGCTGCCGCAGCCCCTGAGCCAGGATGCTCTCGATGCTGAAGCTGCGGCCCCGCGGGCCGCTCTTGTGCGGCGGGGCGGCGGCGGGAGGGACCGGGGCCGGACCCCCCGGGGAAGCCGCTGCCCCCCGGCCCGGCCGCGGGACCCCCGCGTCCCCCGCGGCCGCCGCACTCCCCTTGGACCGCTTGGGCTCGACGGGGCGGGCGGGCGGCCCCGGCTGCTCGCCACCCTTCGCCTCGGGCGGCCCCGGGGTTTTGGGCTTCCTCTTCCTCCGGCGGTAGTTGCCGTTCTCGAACATGTCCAGGCACCGCGGGTCCAGGGTCCAGTAGCTGCCCTTGCCGGGCCGCCCCTTCTCCCGCGGCACCTTGACGAAGCAGTCGTTGAGGGAGAGGTTGTGGCGGATGCTGTTCTGCCAGCCCTGCTTGTTGTCGTGGTAGAAGGGGAAGCGGTCCATGATGAACTGGTAGATGCCGCTGAGCGTCACTTTCTGCTCCGGGGCTTCTTTGATGGCCATGGCGATGAGGGCAATGTAGCTGTAGGGGGGCTTCTGGGGGGGGTCCTGCCGGGAGATCGGTCCCCCGGGGGCGAAGCCGAGGGCGGCCGGGAGATAAACCATGGAGGGATTGCCCAGGGGGGAGAGGTGGCTGCCGTAGATGTGGCTCATCGCCGGCGGGTTCCCAGCTCCGCGTCTTCCCCCTCGGAGCCGAGCGAAGGGACGGGGTAGGACAGGAACCTGGGACGAGTCCACCGAGGAGCTGTTTGTGCGAGCTCAGCTCCCAGCCCTGCCTGAAGGAGCTCGCTCTGCCTCTGTCCCTGCTTCATAGCTCTTAAAAAAAAAAAAAAAAAAAAGGGAGGAAAAAAAAAGTTAAATAATTGTTGTAAGTTTGCTATTATATGTTGACTTAGCACTGGAAAATAAATTGTCTCTGATAAACAGTCGTTTGTGTTCTCAGCCCACCCACATTAATTAAAATTTCATTGCTACAAAACTCCAAGCTCTCTCCACGTGTCTTGCTGGTACCAGCCAATGGTCTCCGGGTTATTCCTTCATTTGTTTATAGAATTAGTCTGTTGATAAGTCTGCCCACCCAAGTCGAATCAAGCTGTGTTTATTTGGAAAAATTTCCGGGCACCCAATATATAAACGCAGTGATCTGATGTTTGAAATATCACGTCCACCCTTTGACGCTGTAAGCACACACAGCAGAGCAGGATGTACACTGCTGGAGCTGGGGAGGAGCGGGCAGGGATCCCCGCAGGAAAACTGGGGCATTAAACAACAAAAAAATGGAAAAAAAAAATTAAAGAAAGGAAGAAAACGGGATGGGTGAGAGGAGGAGGCAGCGCTGCGACGAGGAGGAAAGAAAAGGGGCTGGCTGGAGTTCTGAGGAAAGGGGACTCAGGTGTGGTGGAGTCCCCTGCACGTCCCACTGCAGGGACCCTGCTGTTCATCCCCGGGGGACCCCCGGGAACGGTGGAAGGGGACTCCCCGTCCAGCCCCGGTCCCAACCAGGCAGGGCTGCGCCGGGGGAATCTGCAGAAAAAGGGGAATTTGGCAGGCGCGGGGAGGAGGGTCAGTATTTGTGAATGCGGGCCTGTTGCTTTATATTATGTACTTTCCTGTTTATATCAAGGAGGGGGATTATAACAACTTTACAAGTGCACACAGCTGGCCGGTGCTTACATTAGGAATTTGTGATGCTCTTTTTCTGTATAAACGTCCAGGTTTGGGGCTGTGTTTTCTGTTATTGGATTTTTTTTTTTAATTTACTGACGTAACAGCTTTAATCCGAGGCCCCGAGGGATTCCTATGCAGTTGGAGGTGTCGGCTCTTTCCCCAGTCCCCCTGCTGCTCGGACCTGCGTGAGACCCCGGGAGACCTTGCTCTGTGGAGCATCATTTCTCCGGGGGAAGAAAAAGGAGGGTTGAGGGGGATCCCTTCCTCTTTCACTGAGAAATATCCCGACAGTGAACCTCCCACGATCCTGGTGGGTCTTTTACCTGGAAGGAGAAGAGGTAAAAGCCGGGCTCCTGGCTGTCCCCCAGCATCACCCGGCCCTGGCGATGCCTCGACCTTCGCACCCCCCGATTTCCCTGCAAACTCCCCTTCGCCCGCGGGGTTTTTCGTCCACTTCTGCCCTGGTCCTCCTGGACGAAGGAGTTTCATCCCCCGGGTAAAAGCCAGTGCGATGCTGTGGAGCTGCAGATGCGTCCTGAGAGCTGCAAACCGCCATGAGAGCCTGGGAAACACAGCCAGAGTGCGGGGGGAGGCGGCTTCTGGAGCCATAGGGATGAGGGGGTCTCTCCTCTCACTGGCTGGCCCCACGCGAGGGAGGGAAAATCACCTCTCTGACACCGCCCTTGGCGATAACTCTGCATCCCTCCCCCGTGGTGCGCACACCCGCCGGCCCCCGGGAGCTGCAGGACCCATCCACCGTACCATAAATGCAATAAACCTCCAAATAAATAAAAAAGGGGAGGTAAAAGAAAGGGTTGGAGGTGGGGGAGACTCCTCTCGTCTCCACACTGAGGACCAGCCCTCCCTGGCAGCCTCCCCGCCCCGGTAGCATCCTCGCCGGGGAGGATGGAACGGAACCCGGCTGCTCTAACCCGGCCGGAGCATCCTCAGGGCAGCCGGACGAGGGTCTTCCCTCCTAAAGCCCCTTCCTCTCCCCGCTTCGGGGAGTCTCCCGCTACTTGGGACACTCCAAGCACGGATTAGTAAGACAATAAATACTCGCATGTACGGCAGGAGACAGGCACACGGGCTCCCGCTCTCTCCCTGAGATCCCTCCCCCAGTAAAATGCTTCCTTGTTTTCCCCTCTTCGCGGTGGGAAATCCTTGGAGGCGGGGATGCGGCTTTTCTCTCCATTCCTTCTTCCCAGCTCGTGTGCTGCCTGTTATCCCTGTTATCCCTCTCTTGACGGCGGCATCCCTAGAGCTCGCTGCGTTATCCGCCCGGAATCAGCCCTCCGAGCGGCTCCGATGACTGCGAGGGGACCGGGGAAGTGGGAGAGAGGGATTCTTGTTGATGTTGTTGTTTGGCCGTCGCTCTTTCCCTAAACGGGAAAAAAAAAAAAACAAACAAAAAAAACCCAAACCAAACCAAAACAAAAAAAAAACACGGAGCAGGAGATGGAGGCGCTCCTGGATGGGTTTTCCCTCCTCTCCAGGAGACAAGTCCCTTTTACAGCAGCAGCTCCCCCCGCCAGGGGCCCTCGGGGGCAGCAGGGCACAAATCAGTGCTCCCCACTCCTGCTATATCCCGGAATGAGGGGGGAGAAGGAGTGTAAAATCAGAGCTCCCTATTCCTGTTGCATCCCGGACTGCTGGAAGTGAAGGTGTAAATCAGCGCTCCCCACTCCTGTTGCATCCGGGGATGGGGGGAGCAGGGGTGTAAATCAGAGCTCCCCATTCCTGCTGCATCACGGGATGGCGAGGAGAAGGGGTATAAATCAGTTCTTCCTATTCTTGCTGCGGGAAGGGGGGAACAGGACACAAACCAGTGCTCCCCACTCCTGCTGCACCCCAGCCTAGGGAGCAACGGGGATGTAAATCAGTGCTCTCCACTCCTGCTGCATCCCGTCCTGGGCTCCCTTAGGAATGACCTCTCGGCGGGAGTTGCCCGCCCCTCGCCGCCTCGCCGTGCACGGCCCCGTACAGTTGCGAGATCGCTCGGTATTGCCCCGGGCTCAGGGATATAATTCCTTCTCCCCTCCAAAAAAACAGAAGAGCTCACGGCCTTCCACAAAAACCTCTTGCCCGGTGCCTTCCTACGAACTCTAGAGAAGATGGGGTTGATTGGAAGGGACCAGACAGCTCGTGCCTGGGTCGTGCAGAGGCCTGAGGGGCTTTCTAAGGGGACTGTGTTTTACCTGAGTCCTGTAGCACCAGGGAAACGCTCCCTTGACCGAGTTATGGGGACCTTCCCGGTGGGGACGAGATAGAAAACCGCTGGCCCTTCTCCCAAAACCCGGAGCTGCCTGGGCTTTCGGACAGGTTTGCAAACGTGGCGGTGAATGGCAGCACAAGAAAAAAAATTATACATATATGAAAACCTATCCACCATCCTCTTCCCGGAGCCACTGGCCACGCAGCAGCATCAGCTCATCCCCCCCATGGCGAGCTTGGCCCCCCTGATCTACGAGGAGAGGGTTACCGGGGCGAGGGGGGGTTATACCGGTCCTTCGGCTTCGAGGGACTGCAGAGCCCGACCCGGTCGCGGCTGCTGCTGCAGCTACCCTGGGCCTTCCTCCTTCCTGCCGTTCTTCCTTCCTCCCCCAGTGCTCCAGCCGGGTTGAAATCACCTGTTGCGACAGGCGCCTATCGCCTTATTGACCTCCATATCTCAGCTTTTAAAGAGAGTCCCAAATACATCCCTGCATCCCGCACTTAGCTCTCGCCTCTCCTGCGACACCAGCCCACCCAAAAGGGCTCCCAGTGGGATGATGGGGGCGACTGGGGGTCGAGGGAGAGGGATACGTGGGGTTCAACCCCCCACCCCAGGACAGGACAGAGCAAAGGGACGATGCTCTCAGCCTCCAGGCCCTGAAGAACACCTCCAGCTGGGCGGGAAGGAGGGAGACAGAGCAGGAAGGTCCCACCGGGACAAGGCGGGAAAGAAAACACCAACAAGGGGCTGTGGGGCGAGAGGAGACCCCTAAACCCGGCTCAAGCTGAGACCTCCCAGGAACTGTCCAGCAGCAGCGCGGGGGGAGCTTGCAGAGCCACGGGGGGGGGGGGGGGGGCCCCCCCCCCCCCGTGCCCCCCCCCCCCGCGCCCCCCCCCCCCCCGCCGGCAGGGAACGGCCCCC